GATTATCTTTACTTGTTTGGAGCTGAAACCGCATTTGGATCGACTCCTACATTCTTTCAGGTGAGCCAAAACACTGGAAGAATTCATTTATATTCTTGCATTCCTGGGAAAGATCCACGACCAAGGCCTCATTTCCAGAACTTCAGACCAGAGGAGATTGAAGCAAGCAATTCAATTCCAGTTATCAATAAAGAAAAAACGTCTGAATCAATTATGGAACATCCGGATTATGTACATGCTATTTTAGAATTTATGAAAGAGTGGAAATCATTACGGCCAATCGAAAAGCGGAAACTACTTGGAAAGCCTTTGCAACTACCTCTATCACTGGAGTTAAGTTACTTGAGTGAAAGTACTAGTCATAACAGCGAGGTACATCACTTAGCTAAAAAATCATTTGCCAAATATTTGTTCCAAAATCATAATTGAGTTTTCTGCATCAGGGATTGCTCAGGGGAGGGAGCAAAAGACGAAAGACACCATTTTCTGAGATCAGTATTCCTTTACCTCCAAATTCAGTGTGGAAAAAGGTCAACCTTCGAAGTGGCTACCAAAAAAAGGAAAAAGAATACACCCAAGCTTGGAGTACGAGCAACGAACCACTCTGTAAACTCTGTCAAAAGCCCTGCAAGTGAGTGAAAGCATGGTGTATTCTTTACTACTGATTGATAGTTTTTGTTCACTGTTTTATCATAAGCTTTCTATTTTTTGTTTGTTATAGGGGAAACAACGCCAAAGAGCCTGAGTATTTTGAGGATCTTTTCTGTGATCTTGCATGCTATGAAGATTACCGAACAAGAACAAGTAGCAGATATATTCGCCAGGTTTGCCTTGGTCATTTTTTCATTACGTTACTGCGAATGGGTTTTGATTAACCAAGTTTCATATCATTTGTTTCTTTAATGCATCAATAAGAGGTGTAAGTTTTCAAATCTCAGGAACTTTTTCAGATAGAACATGGGATTTGCTCAAACTGCAACTTAGATTGCCACCAACTTGTTACACGAATAAGGCCTTTACCGCTGGAAAAACGCCGTAAATACATAAATAAAGTTGCGCCAGAATTGTTTGCCCGGAAGAACTTGTAAGCCATTGTGTTCATATTTCTATTTGAATATCAATTGATGACCTTTAATTACTGCATTTGATCATAAAAATTCTTGGAAATTCATTTTCTTTCTCTTACCTCTAATGTAATGTCCAAGGCTCGAAACCCTGGTTAATGATCCAAATGAGGGAAATGCGTGGCATGCAGATCATATCATTCCAGTTTACCGAGGTGGAGGTAAGTCGCAATCTTTTACACTAGACCACTCGGTAAACATCATTCTTAACAATGGCACATACATACATGATTTCATATCCGCGTTCAACTGACTGAACAAGTTTTCTTGAAATTTGGATCACTCATAGGCGAGTGCCGGCTAGAGAACATGAGGACGCTTTGTGTGGCTTGTCATGCCGATGTCACTGCAGGTCAATGCACAGAACGTAAACTGATACGGTCCAAAGCCAGGAAGCAACTGAAAAACACATTAAACGAACTCAGAAACAATCCAAACCAAACAAATCTCTTAGCTGACAACACAAAGGTATGTATGATTACGAGACATTCTCATTTGAAATGAGGAGACCTTTACAATACATTACAAGACTCGTTGTAACGTCTACTCGCATTAGTCTTATAATAGATCCATTATACTTTTGGTCTATTTGTCTTCCAGGAAGCTGATTGTTCGGTTTCAGCAATCGATGAAGAGGAAGACGAGCTTCTGATCGAAGTTCCAGGCAGTGCCTACTCCATAGATCAGAAAACCAGTCATGCCGAAACCCATACATCTCCCTGTCGGGATGTGGTTTCGCTAAAAACTCCTCCCAAACAGACTCAAACTAAGTCTCCTAGATTCACTAGACCTATAATCGCCACTAACTCAATAACCACTTGATTTGTTGTATACAAACCCTATATTTTGAGGAGAGAATTCATCATCATTGATTTAGAAGAATCAGAAAAAAAGATTTGTATAAACTCCACAAAGAGACTGATTTACGTATTTTCAAGTGTTATATAGTCAAGAGCAAAAGCCTCGGTCTTGGTATCAATAAATTTGGTCTACTCATTTCTTTAAGAATGTCTTGTAAATATTGTTGAGAAGAAGATTAATAATAACAGACCACATAGTTTAATTTAGGAACGAACAATATTAATATTGTAATTTCCTTTTCCCAAATAGTTTATTTACATTGTTTGTAAACCACATATCTATAGTTTTTTACTTTGTAATTGTACTATCCGTTAATACAATTACAAACAATATAAATAACATAATTAACGGATAGTTTTTTACATGGTTTTACTTTGTAATTTTCAATAATTAACTTATATTATGTATACATGTTGATAATCCTTCTCTGCAAAGCAACCGAAAGAACAACAAAAAATAAGTTAATTATTGAAAATATACTCACACTTCTTCTTTCTGGTATATATAAATAAAATAAACTGTTATGTAATTAACAAGCAAGGATGTACCAATGGACGAAAATCAGAGATACTGAGGAAATAGAGGGTGAAACTTGACCCATTCCTACTCTATAATAAAGAGTGGATCCGATGCTATATTTGTACGTATTTTTTTTATTACAAAAATATGAAGTAAGTAATAAAAATAGGATATTCATGGTAATCTTAAATTGTTCCATGAATTTTCAACAATACTTAAAATGTCAATCGCTACTTATCGGATGTTCAACTTCAAGGTGAAATTGAATAGAATTATCTATCTTTTATTCCTTATATAATTTTAATTCAATTGCTAAAAATATATACACGATAAAACATCCGCCTGATTGTGTTTTCAAAGAAAACCTACATATTTTTAATTATTTTTACATCTATTGTATTCATTTTTATACGTAACTCATGAACTCCCCAATTTGTTGCATGGAGATAAAGTGTTTCTCCATTTCTTTTCTTTTTTTTCGTGAGATAAAGAAAATGGATCAAATCTGAGTTTGGTTTTTTGATTCTGGTTAAAAGTTTGGTTTTAAAGTTGATGAGGAGGTTATGTAGTTGTAGGATGGGATCATAAGAGCCCAATGAAATAATTGTCGATGTTCCCTTGCCTTTAAGACTTGCTCTTTCTAAATATGTGGGGGTCCATTTCAGTCTTCCTCTCCCAATTTCAATAATTTGGT